ACTATAAATAATAAGTCTGCAAATTTTCTGCCGCCAAATAATAATATAAAACGAATGATAACAAAATTTAAATCGCTAAATCACCGATTTCTACAAATCAGTAAGCGCGGCCATGTTTGTGTATTGGCCGTATAAAAACAGGTGCGCGTGATGTCATTTCCCCACATCTTTAGATTCATGATAAATCTAGTTGAATCGTAAGGAAATATTAATGACCAGACAATTTAATTTTCACAGGAGGTGTAGAGGAGATTTTTTATGGTTCAAAATACGTAACAATATCAAAAAAAAAATAAAGAAAGAAACGCACGGCTAGCCAAAAGTTCTAGGCGTACGTGAGTCACGAACGACTAGCCAGGACGCACTGTATGTAGTCGTATTGTCTAGCCGTACTGCACTTTTCAAAATTATATGGAAGTCGAACGTTATAAAATTGTTGATTTTCATGCTTATCATTTGTTGTTTTACTTGTATGAATTATTAAATCATTTTTGTTAATTTTAAGCACATGGATCAAATAAAATATGATCGGAGTGGAATAAATAAATAAAAAGAACATGGAATGAAAAAAAGCACGGTGAAATGCAAAAATAATTATATAATTTTCAAAACAGTAGATAAATATCGAACATAAAAGCACAGTCAATCAATTCATTAGCCTTAATTAAAACCTATCCAGGGACTGACAATAGAATTTTAGAATGCCTTTCACGGAACATGCAAACTTTCCTTGATGGACAAACTTCTATACAGTACCGTCGGTAATTGTCGCAATTATCAAGAGTCTAACAACAATCATTTTCAGTGTTTGTTGTTTTTTTTTTCATATAAAAGGTGTCGAAAATTAAACTTAATGAAACAAAAAAGGATTATTATCAAGATTTTGTGAACTATTTCAATTGGTGTAAATGCAAGCAAAGGCTATTTTTTTTCTCGACATCTTGCGATGACAAAGATCGATATATATAGCGATCAAGGCGATTAATCTCTAAAAAGTTAACATCCAAAGACAATTAATGCTGTTTCTTGGTTAAAATCCTCGCTTAAAGTCATAAAATAACATATGCAGTTTCGACTTCCATAAAATTTTGAAAAGTGCCGTACGGCTAGCCAATACAGCGTGTCCTTGCTAGTCGTACGTGACTCACGTACGGCTAAAACTTTTGGCTAGTCGTACGGGCCCGTACGCTAGCCACTTCCATTATAAAAACCCTACTTAAACGTACGTGTTCTTAATAGTACATATAATTAAATTTTTGCATTTTGATTCTGACTTTCAAATTTAAAGGTGTGAACATATGTTATAATTGATGTACACATTTCAAAAATAAAAGCAACTCTTTTGAAAAGTAAATTGTTAACATGTCTGTCAGCGTATGATGCTGCGCATCGTTATCGTAGCCTAATATTAACTGCAGGCATATCATTTTTATTGGCTGCTCAAAAGTCTAATTTGCCTAATTTATTCACACAATTGCTGGTTCTTACTACTTATGTCTAATACTGCGCATTGTCCATTTTAATTGTTCCTAATTTGCACCAAATGCTCCTGTCACACTGTGTACTGGCGATTTTTATTGCTCCTTGTATGCCTCTGTGCCGACAGACCTTTTGATCATGCACAATGTTGCCCTGATTGGTTAATCACCCTTGTCAAATATTCTAATGACGAAATAGACATCTATTTTTTTACGCTTCATCAGTGAACTGAATGACCTTAGGGGGAATTAGGTTCCACACCTGTCAAATTATACTGGTATCGAAGCAGTATCCGTCGGCTAGTAGTATCCGACAATACGGTTATTTTCGTTTACTGCAACTCTTCAAAATTGAAGGTGAGTTTTTTTGAGAACGATATCATTCAACGAAAACGTTCGACAGAATTTCTTCAATCTAAATTAAACATTTAATATATCGTTCTCACCTTTATATTTTACAAGCAGGTGTGTTTACATTTTTCGCATGAGGGATTTCACGTGCTACTGTTGCGCATGCGCAAAGGATAACTCCATTAGGCACAAATTAAGACAAGTTTGCCCCCTTTGCCAGCGAATGCAGACGACATTTCTAAAGTCGCTAATAATCATTCAAATTTCATAATAGTCAATAAATATAAGCTAGAGCTATGTGTTGTTGACATTTTTAATCAACAAATTTTGAAATAAAAGCAAAATTGACAGAAATGGGAAACCCGCGGCAATTTTCTTCTAACCAAGGGAGGCAACACTGTATAGTCAATATTCTAACAGTAGGTTGTTTCCCGTATAGAAGGCTATTTTTATTATGGGGCACCTTATGGGGTGTTAAGAATAATTTTACAGAACTTCTTTTATATATTTTCGTATTTGAAATTAATGTGTTATGGATTCATGAATGCAATTTCACTCGTGGTACAAGCATACGATATGACCGTGAAATGTAAAAAGTCTAGTTTTGACCAATGACCGTGATAAAAAAATTAATGATTAACAAGTTTTCTTTTTTTTCTTCTTTTTCTTTTCTTTTGTTTTATATTTATTTGTACAAATGTTCACATCAAAAATGTCTGTATTCAAATAGACATTAAAATACGTACAGTTGTTTGACCGGTTCCGACACAGGCTTCCAACTTTCGCTGTCTGCATACAAATTAACAAATTGTTTCTAGACCAAATGTGCTTGCTAAGTTGCTAGTAGATATTTGATTCCACTTCAAACCTTTTTTTCTAATAAGAACACCGCTTCATTTAATCTGATTGTTTGCACCAGTTCCGGAGGTTTACCAGTTCCGGTGCACATAACAAACCATTTGTAATATTACCAACAAACCATTTGTAATATTACCTACGAAGAGTACAAGAAAATAAGTACAGACCTGCTTTTGAACAATCTTATCATACAGACATACATGTAAAAATGTACACGGCAGTTTTACTAAACTTACGTGGCTCAGTTATGGCCGAGGGGAGTTCAGAAACGACGGCGATGTGTTTTGAAAAAAATAACATAAACTCAGACTCTGCTCTGTGTAAGATAAACTCTTGCGAACAAAATACAAGAACATTGCTGTAAATAAATTAGTTTGAACAAAATACAAACAATTGCTAAACGAAAGTGATTGACTTATAATGTACTGTTTGAACCACATATGATCGACCATTGATTAGCTTTAACCATCGTGTGAACACAATCTTCGTACTTCTGTTCTTGCACGTTATATATGACAACTGTCCTTATGATATGCGATCTTTAAAAGTCAACCTTTTACCCTTAATTAAGTTTATGATGCACGATCGTTGTAAAAACTTATTGACATATGCCAAAATAATATTCACTAGTTGCAGATTTTAAACGGTGCGAAATACACCGGAAAACGCTTCTTGGAGCATCGCTGAACGAAAATTTGTTCTTCGGAGTATCCCCCCTCAAGCCCTAGGACCTGCCCATCACAAAATCGTGACGTGGTCAAGATAAAAAATAAGTTTTTGTTTTGCGATTGTGCTCGAACAATATTCATTCCAGTCCCATTAGTGATAAATACTTTCTATAGATAATCTTATTATTTACTGTTTATTTTATCTGGGACAGAACGATCTTTGTCCCAGATTTTATCCATAAAACAGATATATAAACAGCAATTTTTAGAACACTGACATAGAAATCGATATTTTTTTGTTCTTTCTTCTGCATGTTATCTTATCATTTAGTTTTCAGAGGCTAAATGTATATTAATTACACTACACGTAGATGTGCTTTCCATAAATAAGAGCATAGTGCTCGTATCTTAAAGACTCGATCCTACTATTTTAAACAGTTAGCGCTTTTTAAATAAATGATAATGCTTTTACTTCAAAATATGTTTATCTCAACAAAGTTGTTGGCACACTTTTTTACACACTCTTTCATAAAATCCATTATCAAATAACATTTTATTTCTGATGAGAACACATGGAAAAGTGTTCATTGACAGAAATCCTGTCATTAAAAATACATGTTTCGGAACTACATGTACATGTGTAGTTAAATAGGGTATTAATATCTTTATGTTATATTTTTGCAAACATTTTTGGATGAAGTTGTAAGGCAGATAACAACTTTTCCTTCAATATATAAACTTGTCCCTTTCTTTCAGTTTGTACATATAATATGTACCGATATACCAATACTAATGAGATTGGCGAGATGAAATTTAGCATTTTTGCTTAAATCAGACGAAAATTATAAAGAAGAAGCCGAAATAGAATGATGATTTAATTATTTATTTGTTAATGTCAATAAACTACAAAACCAGTGAATATTTTCTATATTTATTGTCGGTTACGTGAATGGCTCGCTGGATTATTCGGAACTGGTCAGTGCGCCGGAACCGGTCTGATAATAATCTCGGTAAAAATCACTGCAGATGTCATATTAAGTCTACCAAGATTTCTGAATTATTACGATTAAAACCATAAATAAAGCAATATTATTTGTCTAAAGAGGCCTTCAAAAAGTCTTATTATAATAAAAACACCGATACCGATTTATAAACTCGCAAAATCAATGATTAAAAAAAAGTGTCGGAAACTGCTTCTGTAGCGAGGCAATTACGGCTCATTTACACCTCCCGTTGTAGCCCCATTTTTGATGCGCATGTCTTATTCAGGAATCCGGTTTTTATTTACAATAACAATGCATGACCTGTATTTAGTCATATCAAAAGTTTATTTAAATTGGAGACGTTGTTATTGAGAAATTTTTCAATAACCTCATATTTTTATCGGAAACTGCTTCGATACCAGTACTGTAGAAAATTACAGCGCGTCATAAAATAGCAACACATTTTTTTTCAGTTACCAATAATCATTTTAAATATTAAGTAGATTTATGATTAATAATTCAAATAAATTGTTTATTTAATTGTAATTTTATGAGTTGATTTCGGTAAAGAAAAGTTGATTTCGGTAAAGTTACCGAAATTAAGTTGATTTCGGTATCGTAACGTACCGCACGCAGTGACCTCCCCTTCACTAAATAGATCAAGGGAAGCAACCGCTGTGTGCTTTGCCAATTAGCTGAATATTTTTTGTTTGTATCTTAATCGTACGAAAAACATGTATATTAAGATAGTTTGCATAAGTTTTATGCTTATATTTTTGCAACATATGGCAAGATTGATGTAAGTATGCATAGAAACGAAAATGTTCATTTCAAAGTTTCGTACTCAATATTTTCGTAACAAAATATGTTATTAACTTCTGTTATGCTTTTATATACTATTGTGATTCTTATTTCCCGGTCATATTTTTTCAAATAAACTTTCATTTATCAATTGAAAAAAATGGTTCATCAGTTCATTAATGTGTTTTGATGGCTCAAAATATCGAGGTGTAGCTTCAACATCTTATAGAATGATTTCCAAGTCCAGTTGGACTGTCTGGAAATCTCCTGGATTAGACCCAGGGTGGTTTGACCCTTAAAATGACTCTTTGACCATTCATATTTTCAAAAGACCTGAAATGACCCTCAGGATTTTATGGCGAGTGAACTCTCTGAGACCCCTAGGCCTATGTATGTTTCATAAGTAAAACTTGTATATATATAATATTCACGAATTCGAAAACCTAGCTAAACGCTGTTTACCGGTACTTTCTGTACATAGCTCTGGGGAATTCACCTAATGGAGTGTAATAGCGAACTCAATGTTTTCGGTCTTTTTTTAAATTAAACTGAAATAAAACAGTTATTTCTTTATAAGAAAATAATTAAATATCATTGTATGAATAATTCCATACAAAAAATAAAGTAAATACACAAGTTTACGCAGAAAATAACCTTATTTACTATGGACGATTCCACTACAATGAAAATCTATAAAATTCAAATTCTGTTTGAATTTTATAGTGTAACGTCTGTTTGAATTTTATAGATTTTCATTATAAACAATTTATTTTTTTGAATAATTTGCAATAGATATTAAACGAATATTGATAATTTTCAAAAACATCATTTTTTTCACCTTAAACTGTCAAATAATGATAGAAAAATAGACATATCTCGTAACTGTGTTATGTACTTCATTTGGTGTTATTCCCTAGAGCTAAAACGGTAACGTACCGGAAAACGGTGTTTAGCTAGGTTTTCGAAAAGGTCAATACTAAAGAAATCGGAATGAACCTTGTAAGCCCTATATACTCAGGACTGGTTTAGACCCCAGGGTCTATTCCAGGATATAGCCGACTGTCTTAGCAACAGTCATGCTCTATGAAAATGAAAGAAAAATCTGTTCTTCACAATTTTGTCCAGTATAAAAGCCCCCCTTTCAAAAAGTTTTATATTTTTAGCTTTTCTGTTTGGAAGAATAAGTCAAGCTATTATTATTGGTGAGTTGTTGTTGTCATCTAGTCTAAATATATTGATGTGCCAAAGCTAGATTCTGAGATATTTTCATTCTGGGTCAAAATCTCGCTTCTACAGTCTGAGATATTGCCTTGACACAAATAGCACAGTATCTCATCGCATAGTACAATTAGTTGGACTTGTTGTCATCTTGCGTAGAAAAAAAACTTTTATGAAAGTCAACTCGTTAATAAAACTCTCTCAAAGATATCGATACATAACTGAAAGGTGCACTTGTAAAACTAGTGTTATTATTCTAAAAATTTTGTGTCATGCCCCTTTTAATTTTGAATTTTGGAGCACTTTTAGAATCTGTATACAGCAAGGAATCCATGTTTTAAAATCCATTATCAAGTGACTTTGTAAGGAACATAAATATTGAAAAAGTCATGGACCGAAATAATATTGGGTAAAAATTATCTGTGGAAAAATAATAAATAGCATTATCATGCATTCTGTAATGATCTGGTTGATGAATTTTATAATTGCACCCTACGTAAATAAAAATAAAAATGTTAATATAAATATTCACAATAATGAAATAAAGAAGTAATTAATCTGAGTAAATTTGTAGAGAAACATAAATATTGAAAAGTTAATATTGGATAAAATGTTAAAAATAGCTGAGGCCACCCTTAGTCCAACTAATTATACTGCGCGATGAGATATTTTGCTATTTTGTATCTTGGCAATTTCTCGCATCTACACTCTACATAGAAGTGTGATTCTGACCCAGAACGAAAATATTTTAGAATCTAGCTTTGACACGTCAATATATTTTGAATAAGGCCACCCTGAATTTTGACAGAGTTGCTGTTAAAGCAGTGTCTTTTTTTTAAAGCAGTGTCTTTTCAAAACTGTCAAAGGATTCCCTTAATAATTGGTTTTCAGGACATGCTGCTTTTATTAGACAAGGGGCATAATCCATTGCACTGAAAGCAATATTTTATTTTGAGTTATGTCCCTTTATACCTTACATTTTTTGTGTTGAAATTGTTTTATACTAAAAGAAAAGAAAAAACAATTATGTTATTCATTCTTTGTATTTGCATACCTATCATTGGAAACAGGTTACTTCAGTAGATCAAGGGAATCGGATATAACTTAAAGTCATGTGATCAGTATTTCAAGAGTTATCTCCCCTTTTTCATATGGAAAATAATTATTGAGATTTAAAGTGCTTAAAGATCCTGTAACACAATTTTTTTTTGGTTTTATATCATAAATTTGATGCTCAAATTAAGATTTATCAATTTTGTAAGTTCCAAAAAGCATTATTTATAAAGATATAACCGAATTTAACATTTCATGTAAATAAAGGGAGGTAATAAAAAATTTATTTTCTATTAAGTCTAATTTTTCAATAGGAAATCAGAGATCTGCCGAGGACGCGACTTTGCGCCATTGGCGCTAAAAAAATGAGAATGGCGCAGGAAAATCAGAAGCAAAGGGCCATGGGCGCATCTAAAATCTGTGCCAGACTTATAAGAAAACAAAACTGTCTGCTGGGTTATTTTACTTATTTAGTCATCCAGTCAAAACTGGTACCAACAGCAACATGTTACCCATGGTCCTGTAATTACGCATATTCTTGAGTTTATCCATTCCCCTATAGCTTTTGTCCATGTTATCTACTTACCGCATTTCTTCTCATAATCCCTTTCCCACACAGATACTCATTTCTACTACCGTAAATTTAATCCAATGAAACAAACAAACAAATTATACAACTACTTAATATTTAAAATGATTATCGGTAACTGAAAAAAAAAGTGTTGCTATTTTAAGAAATGCTGTAAGTTACAGTATAATCTGACAGGTGTTCAACTTGATCAACCCTAAGGTCACTCAAGTTCACGCAAGTTTGGGCTGATGAAGTGTAAAAAAAGATGTATATTTCGTCATCAGAATATTTGACAGGGTGATTAACCAATCAGAGAAACATTGTGCATGACTTTTTTCATGATCAAAAGGTCTTTCGGCAAATGTCTTTGAGGTATGCTGTCTTCACAGAGGCATACAAGAGGCAATAAAATTCGTAAATATACAGTGGTAAGGGACATTTGGTACAAAGTATGAACAATTAAATGGATAATGCACAATATAAGACATTACAAGTAAGAACCAACAATTATGTGAATAAATTTGCATATCAAATTTTTGAGCAGCCATTTAAAAAATATTTTGCCTGCAATTAATATTAGTTAGAAAGTTACCATGTAGGCATAATTTTTAATTATCTACAAACTTTTTAACAGTTATTTTGGTAAATGTTTACATATTTTCCCAAGGCCCATACTTTGGTAAAAATGGCCCATCATTTTCAGACCAAGTGGGCCCAGGGCCCAGTACTTTCAAATTCTTGGCAGATCTCTGGGAAATGAATGCATATATTTTAATGATAACATATAATATGTACAAATATTTGCGGTACAAATTTTACATATTCTTCTATGTTAAAAAATTGTTGTATAGGCATATTAATTATATACATATATATAATTTCACATAAGTGTGGTATACAACCTCAGTTACAACATACAGGATCTTTAACTGCCATAACACCATATCACTCTTGATTTAAATTTCTTTATACAAGTGATAGCCATGTATGTGGTTGATATGTAGCCTATGAGTTCAAAGTGAATTAATTTAAAGGAATAGGAATGGCTGGATTGATGTCCGTCTAATATAAATATTCATCATTTAAAAAAAGGTACCATGACAGGTTTTCTTTTGACATCAACCCTATAAGTGAGAAATTCGTGTTTTAAGACACTATTTTTTACTTGAGAAATAAGTTCATGGGCGCCGCCATTTTGGCGTTCTGTCATTCTCGCGAGACAGACGAGACCGAGAATGTGACGTGTTACACCCACTTCCGGTATAGGTGTACATGCTGGTACAACTGAAATATATCTTGATGAAGATCTTATTAATCTTATTGCGTACATTATATATTATTTATGAAAACATCATATGGAACTGAATTGCTGTAATTAATTAATTGAAGACGCCGCGACATTAATTATCATTTGTCCGATTTTCAAGCTTGCTGATGATCCCACATGATTTAAGCAATGACTGCTTAATTTTCAAAGATAAACCATCAATTTAATTTGGGTACTATGAGAAACTTCTTCAAATTGACGATATATCCTTTTATTTTGTACTCAATTTTCGCTAGATAAGCTGTCCGAATAGGGTACATCGCCGGTTTCAGCGTAAAATATCAACTAAATCCAATATCATGCAGAGATCTGCTGAGGACGCGATATTCCGCCTTTGACGCTAAAAATGAGAATGGCGCAGGAAAATCGGCAGTCGGACTAATATCGTATGAAAACAACACTGTTAGGTTATTTAGGCACCAAGTCAAAACTGGTACCAACAGCAACAGGTTGTCCATTCCCCTGTAATTACGCATATTCTCGGGTTTATCAGGTTAATATACGTACCTGGGTTTATCCAGTTCCCTTAATATAGCTTTTTTCCACGTTATCTACTTACCCAATCCCTTTCCCTAACAGATACATATTTCTACTACCGTAAATTTAATCCAATAAAACAAAAAATCATAAATCTACTTAATATTTAAAATGATTATTGGTAACTGAAAAAAAAAATGTCTTGCTATTTTATGAAATGCTGTAATTTACAGTATAATTTAACAGGTGCGGAACTTAATTTCCCCTAAGGTTATTCAGTTCACTGATGAAGCGTAAAAAATAGATGTCTTTTTCGTCATTAGAATATTTGACAAGGGTGATTAACCAATCAGGGCAACATTGTGCATGATCAAAAGGTCTGTCGGCACAGAGGCATACAAGGAGCAATAAAAATCGTCAGTACACAGTGTGACAGGAACATTTGGTGCAAATTAGGAACAATTAAAATGGATAATGCACAGTATTAGACATAAGTAGTAAGAACCAGCAATTGTGTGAATAAATTATGCAAATTAGATTTTTGAGCAGCCAATAAAAATGTTTTGCCTGCAGTTAATATTAGGCTACGATTACGATGTAAATAAATACCACGCAGCATCATACGTTGACAGATATGTTAACAATTTACTTTTCAAAAGAGTTGCTTATATTTTTGAAATGTTTACATCAATTATAACATATGTTCACACATTTTAATTTGAAAGTCAAAATCAAACTGCAAAAATTTAATTACATGTACTATATTAAGAACACGTTTTAGTAGGATTTTTATAATAATGATAATTATCGCCGTTCAATAATTAACGGCCAATTATTCGTTGGTGCGTTTGTTTATTTAATTGCATTATTTGATTGTGAAACTTTGTTAAATAATAACATGTGTATGCATTAAATCTGTGAAATATTGTTTAATTACATTAAGATGAGACTTTAATGAACATAGCATTGTTTGGAGTAACGGGCATCACAGTCTGGCCTGAAGTGGTGCGACCGGTAGACGTTGATTTTTTATATGTTTCTTTATTTTATTTATTTATTTTTTTTGGATATTGTTTCGTATTTTGAACCATAAAAAAATCTCATCTACACCTCCTGTGAAAATTAAATTGTCTGGTCAATATTTTATTATATTAATATTTCGCTACGATTAACAAGATTTATCATAAATCTACAGATGTGGGGAAATGACATCACGCGCACCTGTTTTTATACGGCCACTACACAAACATGGCCGCGCCTACTGATTTGTAGAAATCGGTGATTTAGCGATTTAAATTTTGTTATCATTCGTTTAATATTATTATTTGGCGGCAGAAAACTTTGCAGATTTATTATTTATAGTATTCTTTTTCTGAAATCAAGTTTTAATTCTAAGCTTGTCTTTCCCTTTAAGTAACATTAAGAATTGATTAAAGTATAATACTGTCATGTTGTCAGTGTTGTATACATGTATATACAACAGATTGTTTGATATAGCTTTATTGCATTCATTAAGATACGCTCACAATAAAAGACTCAACAATAACTGAAATATAAACATTTATGCATAGGCTAGCCAGAGGCAGGCTTATCAGTACACAGAGGTTTATCAATATAAGGCTCTGATTGGCCACTACATATACAAATATATGATATTACTAAACAATGATTTCTATTTGTATTATAGATACTTGATGGGCTATCATAAGAGTGTCTATAACCACACCCCAGGTCCATGCCATCAAATACCAGGTGTAGGTAGGTCATATAATTTTCAATTGAACTCACTGTTTTTATCCATCTTAGATCGGTAGTTTTTGTTTTTTGTGAGTTTTGATTTGGAATTTTTTTTGTGTTTCTCTCAAAACTGCTGTTAAAATATCAAATTATGTACAATAAATGTATGGGCCTCTTTTATATACTAACCTTAATTATTAAATGCTTCACTCTAAAATTAAGTGAGTTAACAATATTGTGTCTATTCTATTATTGACATTATGCCAGAGAAGAGATTGCTCCGCCCACTGATTCACGTGACCCGGTCATTCAGAACCTTAGACAAAAGACGGTGCCGACGTTTACGCGAAACTGTCATGCCACTTAAGTGACTAATGAATTTACCTTATATAATTTGGTATATATAAAACTGTAATGCTTTTATTGAATAGTTCAATGTATTATGGTATTCAAAAAAGTAACAAATAACTGCATTCACGCATTAATGATGAATAAAACATTTGGCAAAGATCTTGTTATATTTCTCGCTGACTTCAAGGAAAATTGCCCTTGCATAACTTTATTGTATGATATAATGATTATAATTATGTATATTTGTACATTAGATATTTTCGTGATAAAACACAATATTATTCACTTCAAAATAAGTTACGTATATACCAGACCTCGGCTTTAAATTAAAACCGTCTTAAAATTAAAATCGTGATCAGATATGATGTTGTTGAAGCAGATGTATTTTAATATGTAATCTTAAAACATATAGCTTTAGTAGAAAGATTTATATAGGGTAATTTCACCTAAAATATTAATTACATATTCTCTAATTTTTTTTCCAAGTATTTCTTTCAGCAGCATTTTATAGACACTATGTTAAGAACAAACAAAAAATGTCATATCATCTGGATATTCTGAGACCTTATAATTATGTGATTATGAATTTACATAATAGTATTGAAGGAAGGAAAAGAGTATTTGTTTAAATGCAATGTGGTATAGTCAGGATATTTTGTAACTTATATAACCCGTTTTAATAGCTTTTAACAATTTCAATATAAATACTGCTCCACCATTGTCTTATACAAATAGCTTGTCTAAGGAAAATGGCAGACTTTTCAGACATCTTAGCATAAAACTGATAATGGTCCCTGATTGCCTTATCTGTAAGACCCCTGCCAGCTTGATTGACAGGCAGCGTAATGTCAATTCTGTAACTGTCTGATAACAGATATCCATCTTCTTTGAGGTAATGCACATCTTCATTTGTTACTTACTGAAGTTAAATGTTTATCTCATTGAGGAAATTTACATCTTCATTTGTTTGCTACCTTAGTGATATGTCTATCTCTTTGAAGTAATATGCATCTTCATTTGCTCTTTATTTAGATCATAATTATGTGTTTATCTCATTTGTTACCAACTTAGCACAGTCATGTTATATCCTTGACGTAATATACATCTTCATTTGTTACTTATTCAAGCTAAATGTTTATCTCATTGAGGTAAGGTGCATGTTCATAAATTTTGTTACTTACTTCTAAGGGTCATGTTAATCTCGTAGAGATAATGTACATCTTCATTTATTATTACTTTGGACATATGTTATCACATTGACATAATGTGCATCTTCATTTATTTGTTAATTAAGTTATATGTTTATCTCTTTGAGATTAAATTCATCTTCATTTGTTATTTACTTAGGTCATGTGTTTATCTCATTGAGGTAATGTGCAATTTTAATTTGTTTGTTTATTAAATTACATGTATATGTTTATCTCCTTGAGATATATATTTATTATTAACCCTTTCACTGCCATATATATTTTGCCGTCCCTATTAATTTCGGCGTATTTGCCATATGGACGGCTTTAGCCGTTTCTATAATAATAATAGTAATACTAATAAATAAATAATAATAATAATAAAAATAATAATAGATATAAAGAAAATTATACCGTCGACAATAATTATTATTATACTCACAGATTTGGAAACATATATAATTATTATAATACTAATAACAAATAATAATAATTATATTAATTAATAATATAGTAATTTCTTAGAAAACCCTCTGGCAAATAGGTGATCAATAAAACAATAACCCTCTGGCAGCGAAAGGGTTAAGTTATTTACTTAGGTGATATTGTTTATCTCATTGAGGTTATACACAATTTTAATTTGTTATTTAAATAAATTATATGTTTATTTCTTTGAGGTTATATGGATAATGCATCTTCTTTTCTTATTTACATATATCATAGGTTTATCTCATTGAGGTAATGTGCAATTTTAATTTGTTATTTAAATAAGTTATATGTTTATCTCTTTGAGGTTATATGCATTTTCATTTGTTATTTACTTAGGTAATATGTTTATCTCATTGAGGTAATGTGAATCTTTATTTGTTAGTTAATTTATTAGTTATATGTTTATCTCTTTGAGGTTATAATATATGCATCTTCATTTGTTAATTTAGGTCATATTTATTTTTTTATTGAGATAAAGTGAAGAAATAACATTTCTGACACTCAACTTGAATATCAATGTCACATTTCAAAATCGAATGTTTGAGTTATTTTTGTCAACCTGTTTTTGAATCAAAGATTTTAATGATACACAAATGTAATTTTTAAACTGCTTAAGAGAAATTCATAATAATCAAGCCTTGAAGTGATGAAACTTTTTTTCTGGGTTCTATCTCAAATTTCTGGATTTTCATTGGTCAGTGTTCATTTTATAACAGTTTCTGACCAATCAAATACCTGAGATCTGAGTTTGAGCTAGGAGAATTTTTTTGTAACCTTGGGACTTGGTCAATGCACATTTTCAACTGGGACGTCGGTGGCCGAGTGGTTAAGGTCGTTGATTTCAAACCACTTGCCCCTGACCGCTGTGGGTTCGAATTCCGACAGGGACTTTGGATTCTTTCATGTGAGGAAGCTATCCAGCTAGCTTACGGAACGTCGGTGGTTCTACTCAGGTGCCCGTTCGTGCCTGAAATAATGCACGGAGGGGCACCTGAGGTCTTCCTCCACCAGTAAAGCTGGAACGTCGCCAAATGACCTATACTGTGTCGGTGTGGCGTAAAACCCAAACAAACAAACAATCACAACATTTTCAACTCTTCATTTTAAGGTCAATGAAAGTTATTGTATGTTTATTTTTAAGAACATGGTTCAGAGGATATGGAAACTTTACCAGATGGGACAACATTTATTACAGCAGTAAGTTCTTTGTTTATAAATTTACTTTAACTTGATATATTAATAATGATCTGAAAATATTTGTTAGAAAAAAGTTTTAGGCTCTTGGTTTGAACTTGAAAAATAAATTCTTACCATCATTGTACATATCACAAAGATCATCTTTTTAGAACCGTTGCCAAGCTAAGTCTTATATATACAATCATCAGATGCGTACATAATTCAAAAATTGTCATTTGTGTAGAAGCATCAGGAAGCGGTAGCGAACCATAGCATGGCCTAGTGGTTCACACCTCGGACTAGTAATCTAATGATTGCTAACTGCATGGGTTCACACTCCGTCAGGGGCAAGTCATTGTTTCCTTGAGCAAGAAACTACATTCATTTCTCAGTACTGGTTAGTTCAAGTAGTGACTATAAGGTTATAGCTTACTACACAAACAAACTATATAGTAATAATACTGTATAAACCAAGCATCAACAATAATTGTCATATGTTTAGAAGCATGAGATATGTGTAAAAACATTAGAAATAAATGTCATAATTATGTGTTGATACATCATATATAGATAGCATATGTGTTAAAGCATTAGGAATAATTGTCATATGCACAGATGATAGATTCATCATATGTGTAGAAGCTTCAAACATATTTGGCATAATTTATGTGCAGATTTCCATCTACCTGTTTTAGTCAGCTAAAATTCTGACTAGGGATCATATTATATCCCACTAACAATATGATTATTACTTGCATATATACAGTCACAAAAATGATTTTAAGGCTGAATTTCAGAGTCACAGAGACCTTCCTGTGAAAAGCTCTTCTATCGGTTATAAAGATAGTTTGACAGATTATTATGAGTCTTTATATACGGTGGTTTGCATATATTATTTGCAGGGTCTTGTTTGGTCAGTTTCTTCTTCACATTTCAAACAATTGTACAAAGATCAAGGGAGAAAAGGGAGAATACTCTTGTTTAACTTTAACACACCAGAGAAAGGAGTTACAGAACTTGCAATCAGTGAGGATTTTGACCAGTCAACATTTCATCCACATGGTATCAGTGTGATACAGAATGAGGACACAGGTAAAGTAGACATGTACAGATATAATATATCCTAAAAGCTGCATGCCTCCAGATGAGCTAAAATATTTTATTTTAAGAAAAGTTGCCTTGACAAAAATGTACTAAGATTTTTAAAAAAAAATGAAATATTCACAATTCAAGAAATAATTTATATGTTATTTGCCATTAGTGACTGATTTTGCAGTGTCATATCACCATATTTTACTGTGGTACAGGCTATTTTTTGCAGATTTGACCTATATTTGGTAATACTGTAGATTGTTACTATAAGTGTCATTTGCAATGTGGAAAATTACCATCTTTGTTCACTTGGGCTTGGCAATAAAATATTTACTTTTGAATACATTTTCAAAACATTTTAATGAAAGTTAGCATGAATCTAGAGGTATACTGCTTTAAAGGTAAAGAATATTTATTATGCCCCCCTTCAAAGAACAGGGGGTATATTGCTTTGCATTTGTCTGTTTGTTGGTTGGTAAGTCCATAGACAAAATGGTTTCCTGATCAACCTTGAATGTCAAAATGGTTTCCAATTAATAACTCAACAACTCATCGGACTTTGACTTTCAAACGTCACAGGTGCATTGGTCTTGGCCTGTAGGTGACCCCTATTGATTTTGGGGTCAAAGGTCAAAGTCATATTGACCTTGATATGGTTTTCAATCAGTAACTTGACAACACATGTGCTATTCCCTGTCAAAGTGCATTGGTGCATTGGTCTTGACCAGTAGATGACCCCTATTAATTAAGGGGTCAAAGGTCAAGGTCACATTGACCTTGTAGGTAAAAATGGTTTCTGATTGATAACTTGACAACCAATGGGCTGTTGGCTCTCAACCTTTGTAGGTGCATTGGTCTTGGCAACAAGATGAGCCCTATTGATTGTAGGATCAAGGGGTCAAAAGTCAAAGTCATATTTACCTTGAAGGTAAAAACGGTTTCAAATCAATAACTTGGCAACCTATGGGCTCTTGGCACTCAAGCTCCATAGATGCATTGGTCTTTGACAGTAGAAAACCCCAATTGATTTTAAGGTCAGGGGGTCAAAGGTTAAGGTCACATTGACCTTGTATATCAAAACAGTTTCCTATCAATAACTTGACAACTAATAGACCCTTAACCTTTAAACTTCAGATATGCATTGCTTTTGGTCAAAAGATGACCTCAATGGATTTTGGGGTCAAGGGGTCATTAAGGAGGCGTACTGATTCATAAAATTTATGCATACATGTATATTATTTGGTAAGATTAATGATAACTTTGTCATAAAGTTCCTGCACACAACCGTAATGGTCACAATGACCTAGTGACTAATCATGACCAGTAGATAACCCCTATTGATTTTTGCTCACAATGTCAAAAGTCAGTCACAATAACCTGGCCACATGACAAATTGGCTGCCCATACATGTTTTACAAACATATCTTGTTAACAAAGTAAGAGGAGAAAAACTGTCATATAATTTTTAAGTAGAATTTTATTCAGAAATATCAAATGCTCGATTTCTTCACACAAAGTATTTTTAAGTGCATATATAAGGGATTTATTATGCAAAATACATTGAGTAAACACCACTTGCCTCTATCCACTGTAGGTCCCAGCCACACAAGCATCATAGGATTTTTTCATTTAATCCAGCTAGGTTACGGAACGTCGGCGGTCCTACTCAGGTGCTCGTTTGTGCCAAGGGGCACCTGAGGTCTTCTTCTACCAGTATTGGCCCTTGAACAAAAAACGTGTTTTGTCCTTTTAATAATTTTTGTGTCTCCTGCTACACAGTAGCTGCAACATGCAATTGACTATCATTAGGCAAGACATGTCATCACTGATCGCTGATGTACTTTATCAACAGCTTTAGTGATAGATTGTCTTAAACAGGGATTTTCTCTTTCAGGAAAGATAACTCTATTTGTTGTGAATCATTGCCCAGAAGAAGATAGAATAGAGAAGTTTGAGTTTAACAAGGAGAAGATGATGTTAGAACATAAGATGTCATACATAGATGAAGCTATCAACTTGTAAGATACCATTGAATTAATGATTTTTTCTTTTTCTTCTTTTTTGGCTTATTTTATAGCCGATATTCTTATTCCCAATTGAAAATATTATACTATTTTTTCCAATCCACAGGAAAAAATTCCCAATTGAAAGTTACAAAATAAAAATATTGAATAACAAATTCTAAAATCTTTGAAAATAAGGGCCTCTTCACTGTTATGGTGCTTAAATGTTTGAAGATGCCATCCTAGAAAGTGATTCTTTGCATTCATTTAATCACTGCAAATTATAAGTCATGCATTTTTCCCCTATTTTTTGCTGAAATTCCCAGTACCATGGGTATGGGTCATATTCCCAAAATCCTTGGAAAAAAATATGGATTGTACCTATATCTAGGAATTGTTCACCAACATTATTCCTTTTTATGCCCAGTTTATGCCTTTAGATCAATAGATCAGAAAAGTGTATTGTTTTTGAGTTTTTAAATTGTTCTCCTATCTTAAACCCTGACTATAACATGGAATTAAGTTCAGCTCTGGCATCCAAACTTCACAGGTGCATGCATGCGTAAAGGTCACTAAAGGTCAAAGGTTAAGGTAATACTTTCGGGTCATGGTGTTCATTTGAACTTGCTTGTTATCCAATATATTTTACAACATACTTACAACTTTGTTTTAATGAATCCTATAGTGTAGTGAACATGGTATGAATATAGAGGTGTGTTAAATAGCTTAAGAGTTACCCTGTTGGACCCACAAGTGATTTAGCCTTTGCCACACCCTATAGAGCCAGGTTTGCATGCACAGCCATGCAGTCCCACCAGGTTCTATCCTGTTAAGTGATCAACCTTTATAAAGATTTTCAAGTTGATTTTTGTCACACACTGTAGCACTGTTAGCTGGGCGGACATGATTTTGTCTATCCTTAAATTTTGTAAATGGACTGTTCCATAGATGGGAGGCTGGACAAGTCCATGTAGAAAATAAAATCAACAGGGTTTTTAAAATGCATGATATACTTTACCAGTTACAGCTTTAAACCCTCATCCTGCTGGCTTTATGTAAGTTTGAATTTGGAACAATCCTTTCAAACTTTTAGGGTCTTCAGCATCAAAATACAATGACTTGCTACTTACCTAGCTCTAAACTAGTGGACAAGTCTTTAAAAAAAATGGTTTTCAAGCAGGTTATGGTTTTAAGCAGAATTCTTCCAGATTCATGCTTATTCTCATGAACATTTTGAAAATTATTTAAAAGAAAAATATTGTAAAGTGAACAAAAAACTGTTATTTATACAATTATACAAGTCATAGCAAATGGCATTTACAATCCATGTAAATTACCAAAAAGAGGTCAAAATACACAAAAATAGTCCTAATTGTGTCGGTCATGCAGTAGAAATATTGTGATTACAACTGCAGTATCAGTCATATATATCATACATAACATGTAAATTATCATTTTAATCTTATTACTTTTTTCTTAAAATTTTAGTGTTTTTTATACTAAAGTTTGATTTTCTTGAAATATTTTGGCTCATCTGAAGTCATGCAGCTTTAATTTAAGTCAGAAACTATACTGGTTGGGGACCACCAAAACCGGACAACCACCAAACCCGGACGGCCCCGAAAATGCTTTATTTAGTATTTTCTTTGTTCGGTGGTTGTCAGTCACTTTTTTTATCAACAATACGTGCATGTTTCTTTTATAATTAAGTAAATGAATTTATTTCAACCTCCGTAAATGGTAATATTTTAATGTCTAATTCAAGAATGTTAACGTTGAAATTCGGGGGTCAAGAAAGCAATGCCTGACCTCATATACCAGCTATAATCATTTGCAGAGTGAATAATAGAATATCCAAAACTTCAGCATTTGTTGCTGACATATTGTATATCATGTTACAAATCAAAAATCAAAACACCCAGGCTTTTATCTGAATTAAATCACATCATGTACATATCTGTCCGGACACATGGTACTGTAGTGTAGACAATTTAGGTAATTTTGATACCCTCCTTGTCGAGCCTCAGATATAAGTGTCAATACAATCAGAAATAAACAAACTAGTTTATTAGTTAGGAGAAGAACTTAGCTGAACTGTGTCAAATTTTTTGGTCTCTAGGTTAAAAATTATGAAATCTGCACGGAAAAATGTTCCAAAAGTGTCCGGTTGATGGTCTCCGACCAGTAACCTGTTACATCTTTTACTTCTTTCAGAGCAAATGATGTAGCTGCCACTAGTGAGAACAGTTTCTACTTCACAAACTACTGTTATTTCCGGTCACCATTAAGTTTTTTGTTTGAGGTATATTTACTGTTTCCGTGGGGAAGCGTTGTGTATTTTGATGGCACTAACTACGCGGAGGTTGCCGATAGTATGATAATGCCTAACGGAATATACCTATCTCGTGACAGGAAGTAAGTATGACAAAGGATTTTATATTTTGCCTATAGATTTACAAGCAGTAAATCATTAGGGAGAATAGTTAATACAGAAATTATTTTAGATTGATTATGTAGGAAACTATTGGCTTATAAAACACACTCTCAATTACGTCCTTGGAACCAATTAGTGCAGTCCCTGAAACAAATTAGTGCTGTCCCTGGAAACAATTAGTGCTGTCCCTGGAACTAATTAGTGCTGTCCCTGGAACCAATTAGTGCCGTCCCTGAAACAAATTAGTGCTGTCCTGGAACCAATTAGTGCCATCCCTGGAACCAATTAGTGCTGTTCCTGAAACAAATTAGTGCTGAGCAATGAGAGTTCAGTTTTTTGCTCAAGGAAACAACAACTTGCCTCTGATGGGGTTTGAACCTACACAGCTAGCAATCTATAGAGTACTAATCTGATACCTTAACCACTATGGTGCCATTATGCCATGGAAGTTGTAGGTTTGATTCAAGTTTGTATTTCATATAGAAATTCACAATGAAAAGAAACTAGCTTCTGTTTATCGTAGTATTTAACCAGATAACTTTTAAGACTTCAACTTGTGTCAGTCCTGTATCATCATTTGCATTTTTCACATGATATTTCACTGAACCAACAATAAAGTTTAATAAACTGTTCAAGTGTTTGTTGCAACAAGTTGACACAATTAAGGAAACTTAAAATCTATTGGACACAAAGAGTAAGCAACTATGTTTTTTTTTGCTACATTAAAGCTGCACACCTGCAGATGAGCCAAAATATTTAAAGAAAATCAATTTTGAGAAAAATATACTTACATTTTATGAAAGGTAAAACATTCAAGATCCGAGTTTCAGTTTACATCTTATGTTTGGTTAAGATTGATTTTGCGGTATTTTATCACCATATTTCTACTGCGTTACTAATGCAGTAAGGGCTATTTTTGCATATGTTTAACACTATTTGGCATTTTTTTTTTGATAATCATTGCTGATTGCAATATGTTAATTAGTTTATTTGTTCACCTCACAATATATTACTTTTAAATACATTTCTAAAATTTTCATGAAAATTGACATGAATCTGGAGGCGTGTTGCTTTAAAGTAATGGTTGGATATTATAACAGCAAGTAAGAGTAGAAGGTAACTGAATATTTCCCTTTATTTTACAGATATGTGTATGTAGCTGCCGGTCTGGCCGACTCTATAAATATATTTGAGAGAGAGGCAAATAATAACTTGGAACTTGTGCAGGTAATATAACATTTAATTGTTCAATTTCGATACTATCTTTAAATGCCCATGGTTGTATAATGGTATATAGATTTTTAACTTCGCCTTTCATCATTAGGATTTTTTATTTATCATTAGGATTCATTATTCTAATCAGGTACAGGTACAGTCATTCCTATGAATAAAGGTCATCCAACGGAGGGACTGAGCATGGCCTTTATAGACATGGGGTCTTTATTTGGAGGTTACTCTGTTCTGTTCAAATCAGTGAATGGTTGACGAAGAGTGGCCTTTATTTACAGTGTGATATTTATTAAGAGGTGGTCTTTAACACAGCTTTGACTGTATATTCTGTCCAGTATGTGAGTCTGAATAATTTCATTCTAAATAATCTTTCAATGAATGATTGAAAAAAAGAAAATAAAACAAAAACGAAAGGATTTTTTTTAAGATTCTTCTATGCACAATGTGTTTAGTAGCAGTCATTAATATCCGGAAATATTTTTCATTAAAAAATGTTTTTTCTGTTTTTAGGATTTTTTTCTACATGCAAGTGCAGACAATATTTTAATAGAGCCAAAGACTGGAAACCTGCTAACTGCTATCCATCCGATCTTGCACGAGACCGCTGCCCATTTAGAAGCACCGGATCTACACCGGGCACCAACCAAGGTATGGTATACCATTATTTATTGAGTTTGTCAAATTGTGCAACAGTCAAAACTGTTGCCCCGAGGTATCAGGGATGACATTTGGAACTGTTGCTAGAGGCCAAAGGCCGAGTGCGAACAGTTCCATATGTCATCCCGGATACCGAGGGACAACGGTCAATTTATTGTTCCACAAGCACCCATGAAATAACTGTTTTATTACCAAATACTTTGCAGTCAAACTATATTTATATATATTGCAACAACTTACTAAGAACATTTTTACAACAGAATCCTACAGACGATTGATTTTCTAAAAACCACTACCGTACATGTACATTGAACTGAGCGAATAGAAGCGCTGCATTAATGAAAATACCCGATGACAGGGGTGTAACAGTTTATATACAGTTTTCATGTGTGTTAAAAAAGGAACATTCAATATTATCCAGAAATTATCATAAGCATCTATAAGGAAAACAACATACTTTAACACAAATTTATAAATTTTATGAAAATATTTCATCAGATATAGCTTTATACCCTGTAATTGCTAAAGTGTAAGTGACTGAAGATTTTTATTAGTGAAAGTTAGACTATATAGATATTGTATATCAAAATTGAAATAATGATATATACATTTACAAAGATTACATATAGATAATATACATGTATATAGGTAATAAATATGTTTTACAGGTGTTAATGATTCATATGAAGAACAGCAGCTATGCAAATGATATTACGGAACTTTACTCGGACGAAGGAAACAACATATCAGCCGGCTCGGTAGCCTCTATATATGATAACAAAATGCTCATTGGTTCAGTGCAGGATAAACTTTTATATTGTGAAGTTAGAACTTTGTAAATGGATATTTTTTTTAGGATTCGTATTTTCTATACAACAGGAATGATTAATATGTGCATTCAGCTGTGAATGCAGGAAGAGCTTGTCCGCCTTAATGATTCATATGCAGATAGATAAGGTTTTATGTTTACCCTTGACTGTTTATCAAGTATGAAAACTATTCCAGTGCCCCATAGGCTCATGTTTGTTTTGTCTATCAGTCCATCCATGTTACATGTAAGAGTCAGCTCCATAACTTTTGAACTACTGAAAAGTTATTAAAATATCATGGCATAAATGATCAAAATTATGAGATGACCTGCTTGATCTTAGGTCAAGGTCATCTTAAAAGGTCAGTCAAGGGTTGAGAAATCTTCTGCTGCAGGGTATACAGCTGTCTTTCAGACGGCCTTGTTTAAAATCCAATTGTTGCACTTGAGATTTTTAGATATGGGGTAAGTGGTTCTTTAAAAAATTAACAACCTTCAAGTCATTTTTAGCTCATTTTTTTTTTAGAAAAACAGAAGACCATGTAATTTTTGCATGAAAAAAGCAAGCTATTATGATAATTGTCCTGTTGTCATTATGGTCATCACCCTGCAAAAACTTTAATGCAGCCAATTAGTCAATCATTTTAAAAGGAATCTACACAAAACTTGGAATACCTGCTTTTCATGACAAAGTGAAGTTGTAAGACAAGGGGCATAATTCTGAAAGATATATTTTGAAAGTTATGCCTTTTTTGGTCCAAAATTGGTTTTGTTAACAAACTTGCATTAACATAGCATTCTGTGTTCTTGTTTAGGTAGAAATGAAAAATGTACTTAACATTCTGCCACTTACCATGACATTTAACTAACATTATGACAGCAAATCTATTATATTCTGACAAATGAAACTTTACATATTTAGTTATTACATTGTTTCATGTGAATAGTTTAATTTTAACTGGGAAACCATTGTTTTTCTCGGTAATTTTTCTGAGGAAATTAAGTTGATTTTGAATGATCAAGAATAATTTTCTGAATTTCACACCAAGTGTTGGCCAAATTGTTAATTGTTATTAAAGTATCTTGTTAATGATATATATTTACTCAATGTATGCCTGTTATAATAATGGATAAATAACTTTTCATAAGAAAAAATAACTCCTTCTCTTTTGTTAAGATTTCTATTACACATTTTAAAATAGGCATATAGTTAACAAAAAATATCCTTATAATGATTATTACCACATTGTATTTGATAGTCCTTGACTTATTTAAGTTGTTGCTTATTTTTAAATGAAATATATTTCATTTTTACCAACAACTTTACTAGTAATATATTCAAAACTTTGAAGGGAAAAAAATGTGCGTTAATAAATTCTAAGATCATTTAAAGCAGTATGACTCCAAATTTTTTGATAACTTTCTGTAAGTTTTGAAAATGTATTTAAAAGTAAAATATTGAATAGAGAAAAAAAACTGATAAAAAAAACTTTCTGAAAAAGCAGACAACAGACTTTTCTTATAAGTAGATCTTTGAGTAAAGATAAATCATATGTAAAATGGTCTTACATATAGTAGGTTTAACAGTTAAAGTATTTTTTTATTTTAAATACTTTGTTGTCAAAAGATGTGTTGAAGTATATACCATGATAAAGCTAAGATTGAAAGCTTTCCATTGGTGTAATAATTTTTAAAATTGGACAATTAATCACATCAAACTAACGATTTAAAAACGGCTTAATTTGTATTGTTTTAGCATTTATCTTACTCAAAGATAAGGGATAAAAAATATATTTTTCACTTGATTTATCTTGGTTATTCACGTACTTCATATCAAAAGTGTTTATGGGTATATTATCCACAAATTATTATCCACTTACAAATCTCGGAAATTACCAAAAATAGGTCACAATTTGCAAAAGTGAGCCCTTACTGCGTCTCATTTACTGACTGAGAAAAATGGTGATAAGTACTGCAAAATCAATTCATTAATAGCACATACCATGTAAACTTTTATTTGAATCTTTTTACTTTTCTTAAGATCTAAAGACACTTTTCCTTGAAACATTTTTGTTTATCTGGAGGCATGCAGCTTAAAAGTTTTAATAAATTCTGTTTTACAGATTTCATTTTGCCTATATATAAATACATTTTGTATTTAACTGTTGATATGAAATCCTATTTAGAAATGCTTAATTATTGTTCATATTAGCTCAAAATTATTCACAGGTATCTTGCTGTATTTTTTTTTTATTATCAACATTATTTCTTTTTATATACAGAAGTTAAATTTTTTGATTATTTAGCATTTTTATCTTGCCTATTCAAGAGCTTTTATACTCACCCAGTCGTTGGCATTTAAGTGTTGGCGTCAGTGTCACATTTTGGTTAATTTTTTCTGTGCAAGTTGGTTTCTCCAAAATTAAGGAAGGGAATGGGTTTAAACTTCACACAATTTTTCTCTTTGATTATCTTACATGATGGGCACAGGTCCAATTTTTCACTTAGATATGCCCCATTTCTTACTGTCATGCTGTGAGAATAGTCAAGCACGCTTTAATGGACAACTTTTGTTTCCATTATGAGGTTGCTGTTTTGTACAGGGCTTTGCTTTTTTTTTGGCTTTGAACTGTTCAACTATTTATTTATATATAATATATATTTTATATTTATGTCCTCACCAAAATCATGACCATTTTTACTCCTTTTTATTTACACCAGATGTATTCAGAGTATTTATTCACTACAGATGAATTCAGAGAACCTGATTGGTTGATTTTGAATTCACTTTCGACCAATGGTAGAGCTTAAACCTTATTTTAAGCTAGAACCTGTCTCCTGCGACAGCTTTTGTTTTTTAACCTCAAATCACTTGGCCCTCATCACTGAAGGTTTGAATCCAGTAATTTGGGACTTTGGATTCTTACATGTGAGGAAGCCATCTGGCAAGGGCTAGCTTACCAAAGGTGAGTGGTTCTACTAAGGTGCTCACTTGTGCCGGAAATAATAAAAATAATACATAAGGAGGGCCCCTGAGGTCCTCTCCGCTAGAAAAGCTGGAAAGTATGACCTCTATTGTGTAATCCAACAAAAGAAACAAGCAAAGTTGATTACCTTAGTCCCATGACGTCCATTTGCTCAAACATAATGTTTTTATCCATTCCAATCTTGTGTTGATTACTTGATTATTTTGTGTATATGATTATGAATGATGTGGATTACTATGAAATTTCTTAGATTGTTATGTAAGTATTATAGTCAAACCTGTATAAAAATGCCATCCAAGGAGAGACTTAACATGGCTTTTATAGACAAATAGTCTTTATTTTGAGGTTATTCTTATCAATTCAGTCAATGAACAGTTGTCAAAGAGTGGGGCCATCCTTAAAAAAATGTTTGTTTGCAGTAACCCGACCCAGAATTTTCAAGGTCGATTTTTTTTTTTTTATTGAACTGTACTCCCAAATAAACATGGAATTTCAAAATGCTGGACAATATAATTATGCTTTGATAAACTGGTAACAATTAATAAATTGATAAATGAATTCTAATTTAATAAGACCTAAATTTATTTCTTCTATTAACCTTTAAAAGAATGAAAACAAAGCACAAGGCATAATTTTCTGATTCAAAAAACAATTTTTTTATCCAGACCATGAAAAAAAATTTTGAGTAGGGGTAAATTTTGTGAGTCGGTCGCGTTACTGCAAACAATCATTTTTTTAAGGATGGCCTGGTCTTTATTTGTATAGTGATCTTTATTCAAAGGTTGTCTTTAACACAAGTTTGTATAGTTTTTGTTATAAAAATATTCAAATTTGATTAACGTACATAAGTCTCACAATAATAAGTTATTTTATATTATTAATCAGAACAGTATACAATAAGGGCAGAATTATGTATTTGGTTATTTTATGAGAGGGTTTTATTGCCCTGAAAAATTGATTGGAAGGTATTTTTCCCCCATTTCTGTTTGATGAGAGAGCTACATGTCTACCCTGTTGGATGGTAGGGCTTTTAACCTACACTCAAATTATTATTGTAAAAAAAAATCATTTTAAAAGAAGGTAGAATTGTGTGTCAATTTATTATAAGCTTTAATATATTATAGTTGAGAAAATCATAAATGAATAAAAGAAATTGGTCATATTTGTAAATTCATACAGTCAAACTTGTGGACAAAGGTCATCCAAGGGAGAAACTGAATAAGGCCTTTATAGACAAGTGGTCTTTATTTGGAGGTTATTATGTCCTTTTTAATCAATGAAGGGTTTAATGAAGAGTGGCATTAATTTACAGGGTAAATTTTATTCAGAAATGGTATTTAACACAGGTTTGACTGTATTAAATTTGTTGTAATTTTATTAAATGATCAATTTATAACATTTTCATTTAATGATATATGTTTACGTATGTATATAAATGTTTATGTTTACATAAATGTTTTTTTTTTACTATCTTACACCAAAAAATTTACCATATATACTTTACAATAATTCCTCACATCCTGTTATGTGGTATTTACAAATATATTTTAACCAAGATATATATATATATATAATTATACATAAACCTTGTTCTATGATTTTTTACCTAAAATTACCATTTTTGTTGCAAATCCATGACTATTGTAAATCCTTGACAGAAATCTATCCAAGTTAGTAGAAATTATTTTTTTTTTACATAAGTCTATTGTATAACAAACAAAATTATTATTCCATTTATTTATGTGCAATAACTAGTCAAATACTTTAAAGGGGTTCCACTTAGATTTTTTAATTTGATGGAACTGGAAATAATTGTTTGAGATAAATGTTCCATTTGATGTAGGTCTTGAACAATAAGTTATGTGCCAAATTTCAGACCATTTGCTCACTTTGTTTTTCAGAATAATCATTCTAATTGTGAAAAATGACCCTAAAATGAAAAGCATTTCACTCAACTCAGGCTTAAAATAGCACAATATTATTATTGTCTATTTATTTTTCAGTTTCTTAATTATCTTTCTGTTTTTAAAGTCCCAGCTGAACTATGTAATAAATTCATATTTTACGTTTTAGGCTTTTTGACCTCTGTGGAGTTCCTTTAAGAAGACCATATTAGATTTGGATACAATCTATCACTAGATGTCATAATTATATTCATAAATAGTTAGATAATCAAAATGCAAAATTTAGGTTTTAGGCAGGGTATCTGTCACCAAAGCCCAAGGTTGTAGGCAAGTTCTTTACAACTTTCAAAATCTACAACAGAATATTGACTTTATAGTTGCATGATATTTAGGTTATTGAATGAGTGTAGGTTCAATATTGAATTTGAATCAGTTGAATAATAAATTTTCGTATTCAACAGTTTTAATAAATTTATTAATAAAGCTACATGAATATAATTATAATATTCTGTTTATCACATAATCAAAATATGAACTGTTTACTGTAGAAAAAAAAGAATTAGTCTTTTATTGACATGCCTATAGTGTAATGCTATCATTTAGCACCTCTTTAGGTTATGTTTTTATAACTCAAATGATGTCATATCAAAAAAACATGCATGGATGTGCCATACCATTTTTACAGAATCGCAATAGCGGCATCGGTATGTGATAAATTTTAGTATTTAAAATTAATAAATATATTTGAATATATCACATACAAAGCATTGTTATATTTGTTTTGTTTGATTGAAATCTTGATTGTCATTTATTCAACATGTATTTTTTTAATTTGATCAGTTAATTTTTAGGTTTGTTAATTTTGATGATTCTGATTTTCCAAAATGGTTGAAATGATTTGTAAAATTGTAAATTAAATCCAACTGTCAGAATAGAAAGAATTTTGTGTTTTAGTTGATTTTTTTTGTGAATCATGCATGAAAATTACTTTAATATGTGTATTTAGCAACTTCAAACTGATACCCTCCCCGGTTGTCCAATAATATGACACTCATTCCCTCCTCTGTAGTCCAAAAATGTGACAAGTTACTTTACCTTAGTCCCGATTTTGACACCAGTTACCTCCCTTATAGTCCCAAAAATGTGCCAGATTTATCTACCCTATAGCCCCGAAA